TGAGGGAGGGTAAAGAGGGAAGAGGGAGGAGTTGGGTGGGTAACCACAACCGCTACATGGAGACTATCAGGACATAAGTTTTTCACAACTTTACTTGGTATACGGTCCGGATTCACACGCGTTGACCAGGATTGGGGAGTTTTGTCTTGTGGAGCATATTACCCTGGAGAGGATGTCGGGCTGATTTTGGGGTCGGATCAGTCATGGCAGTTGGGGGAGGGGGTCAAGGGGGTTGAGAGGATGGATTTGGGGATCTCTAGTTCTGCGGGGGAATGTGCGTGATGTGGTAAGGAAATTGTAAGTCCCAGAGGGAGCTAGAGGGACCTGGAGGGAAAGGTAATTAGGGTAGAAAATGGGGATTTGTAGTTCTGCGGGGGCATGTGCGTAACGTGGTAAGGAAATTGTAAGTCCCTGAGGGAGCCGGAGTGAACCGGGGGAAGTGGTAATTTGGGTGGGGAAGGAGGGAGGGGGAACCCAGTTCTGCGGGGGCATGCGCATGATGTGGTAAGGAAATTGTAAGTCCCAGAGGGAGCTGGAGTGACCCAGGGGAAGGAGCAATTCTGAGGCGCTTGGGTATCCAAAAAAACGATACCGGTTAAAAATCGAGGTGAGGGGGAGATGTTGATGGTGGGATATCAAGCATCCTACTAGTGAGGGGGTAGCTCGTAGGATGGGAATAGGGTACAGCAGCAGCGGAGATGGTGGCTCTGTTGAAGTAAGTCTTGTCGGAATGAGGTAAACAGGATTGATGGGGGGGTTCTAAGTTGTTTTCTGAATTTGGCCTATGCTCTTGTTCTTTAGCTATATTTTCAATTTTACTTAGTAATTGCTGCTTGAGTAGCCTATCATTAGGGCAGCAGCTATCCACGTTTTTCTTAAATTTTCCTGAACTTTTTTCATAGTTCTCAGGTTGTTTTTAGTCGAAGCCAGATAATGGCCTTGGTATTTCAAAGCATTTGTACAATTCTATATGGGACGCTTGGCCCGGTTCCCAGCACGTGCTGCTCCCCACAAATAGATCGGAGCATTTGTCAAAAAAAAAAAAAAAAAAACGTTGTGGCCCAACGAGCCACGACTCCTGGGTATGAGCATAATATCAGCCATCTAGTAGTAGGGTATGAGCATTTTGCCTGGACATGTACATAATTTGTGCATTCCAGTAGTTGGTTATAACTACAATTTTGCAGTATCAACCTACAATTTTGCAGTACCAACCTGGGTCCACCTCGGTCCTGGGCATGCCAACAATTTCCACCAGCCATTTTGTGGGTATAGGCGTAAGTTGGCGTTGGGACTGGGTATAGTCGGTATTCCCATCTTTAAGTGGGGTACAGATGCAATTGCACCCCCCAAAAATAGGGCACTACCAGTACCGACCTCTATGAAAACCGTTTGGTGGACCTCTGCCCAGCAGAGGGAATACAAAGAAGGCGGTCGTTTCCACTAAACGAAAAGGATAAAAGTGAAAAAGAAAAAGTCCGAAAAAAAAGAAAAAAAAGTATGAAAAACAAGTGAACCACGTTGAAGGCATTTTATTGCTCCCCGCCTCTGACCGGGAGTTCCTTTTCGTTTTTCTTTTTTGTACAAGTGAAAAAAAAAATATAAAAAAATCCCATAGGGTCGAGAAGGAGGTCGACGTGACAGACCACGAAGAGACCGTCCATCAGACAGGGGCACACCCTGTGAACGATTAGAGCTGAAAAAACACTGCACCTGCAATCCTCCTTAACAAAGGAATACATCCACAACTTGCGGTACTCCGAGAAGATGATCATGCACAAACCAAGAGAGAGAGAGAGCGAGAGAGAGAGAGAGAGAAAGAAAGACAGAGAGAGAGAAAGTGAGATAGAGAGAGAAAGGAGAGAGAGGGACTAGATTTGCGGAACACGATAGGCTTTGTTTAAAATGATAACATGAAGCACAGAGCCCGCTGGCGATGTCCCGACCAATTTCGGCCCTGCTGCCAGTTGCAAGGCCATCATCAGGGGACTTGAAAAAAGTGCATGCGAATGGGATCAACTACGGGGAATTTATACCTCTTGCATGCATACTTACGCACCGCCAAAAACCCACTTGAGTCACAAACCCTACCCGCACGCTTACTCCTAAAGCGCCAAACCCTGGTAACTCTGTTGCTCTTGAGCGGGAGAACCGTGACTGCCGAGCAAGATTACAGGCTCAGATCCTCGGGAAGACTAAGAAGTCAGAATGTAGGTGAGGCTACTGGGAGAAAACATCAGAACTACGGCAGGAAAAAAACAAAGAAGATCAGAGAACAGTGGGCGGGAAAAAAACTTAGGCGGGGAAGCTACTCCGAAGCGTGCCAAGAGTAGAGTATCCAAAAGGGAGCTGTAGAGAGGACATTACCGAATTATGACATAGATATTGCCTGCGGAAAAAAAACGAATTCAGGCATGCGTTCGATCGTCAGACAAAGTAACCTTGTTTGGAGGCGGAAGGATGTGGTGGATGGCTCTAGAGGGAATCGAAAAAATGGGTGGACAAGCATGTGGATAGTCTAGGATAGAGACAAAAGCAGAAGTCCTGCAAGACACAAAAACAAAACCTCGACAACACGGCCCTACTCGCGGAGATACGGGCTTGATGGCATCAGTTTCCAACTATTATCTGTTCCTTCCACCTCGACCACTGGATATCCATCTTTTTGGCCCTAGACCTAAGCCAAGTTAAAAAATGACGGCCCAGTCATCCAACACGCACTTACTTTCACGAGACACCTTCCGTACCCCCTTCAAAAACCAAAACCTTGGAAACCCCTTCAAACGTAGCTCTTTTCTTAGTGCCAGCAACATAGCACCCATTCCCCAATGATCTGAGGAGTGGGTTACGGCCCTGTGTAGATGGCACTTTACTGACAATTTCTTGTATTGTAAGGGGCCGAAAGACCAAAAATCTTGGGTAGATCGAATTCAGAGAGGATCCGCAGTCCTTCATCGTGGCAACACACTTGATGCCCGACGGGTCCATAGAGCAAATAATAAAACAACCCAGGAAGTCTCATTTCCCGCTTCCATCATCTGTCCGGACCAAGGATAAGTTAGTATCGTAAGAACCGAGGAATATATGCAGTAGATTCCTTGCTTTCCCCAGCCATCCACTACTTTTTGCCGGGAGGATAAAAAAAATGCTGATGTCATCGACAAGGCGGATTCCGATTATGTAGCGGGAATCAGTTCCAATGGCCCGTAGGAAGTGAAATTCGTTATATGAGCATAGCAGGCATGCCAAGGCCGGGCTGGAGCATTTGCCCGTTGGGATGCCCACTACTTGTTTGATCGTTTTACCTCCTATTCTTGCATATGTATATGCGCGAGATCGAACTTAACGAAATCCAAGATCATGGTGAATTTCACTGATACCGAACCGGACTCACCAAAATTTCTAACAAAACTGGCCCCTTTGCCTCTTTTATGAACTTGCACACAGTCTTTTCTTCCACTCAGGAACATGTCACACGCCCATTCCATAGCTCGAGCAATAGATAGATGTGGAAGCTTTGTAAACATCTCTTTATGTCAAAGCTAGCGGCTATGAGACATCCGCCATTTACGCTGAGAGACTTGCCTATCGATCTGCGTTATCCTTCCTTTCAGCAGGGATGTGGATTTGAGGTTGAAATGTGACCTAGGCGGCAGGCTCCATAGAAGAAAGCTGATAGCCCTGGCGATAATCTTACAGACTCTCACACTTGGTTCAGAAAAAGAGGGTGAAATAGGGCGCCACCTAGACGTGTCTTTGTGCTTAGGGATACCATAACAACAACCAAGATGACCTTTGCCATTCCAAGGGGCCAGCTTGCAGGCCCCTATATTCATGTACTCCCTTTTGCACAAACCTAGTATAGCGTCTTCTTCCATGTTGATGACAGTAAAGCCTGAATTGCCCCAAAACAACCGAGCAAGTGCCTGCTGATAGATACTTTGGCAACACACCAGAGAGTCTCCAACATTGTGATCTATAGGGCAAACTACCACGTTTGTCAGTTTCCCTTTCCACTCAGTCAAAGAGTCGTAACTAGAATCGGTCTCAGTCGGTCATTCCCTGAAACAGAGTGTCAAATTGTGGTTCGTCAATCGACTGGATTCTGGACAACTAGACATACCTGTTTCAATAGCCCTTCTGATGGACCCCATTGAGACCAGTTCCTTCGAAGGAAGGGCATTTTTCGAGTTGATCAGGCACCTGGGTAAACCCGAAAACTCAAAAAAACGAAAGAAAACGTGTTCATCTCTGTTCCTAGGCAAGCTCGAGTCACAAGTAGAACAGTTGCAGTCAAAAGACGTTGCTTTGGACATTAGTCTGTGCTTGTGCAGGTGGCTACCGACAATTTTTTTGCCAGTCCACACAAATCTCAGTCGAGAGATCATGAAATCAGCAACACATTTGGGCTCGCATCTTCTTCAAATCTCCTTTTTTGTAATATTAATGATCTCCCGTCGGATCACGCTTTCAGAAAAAACACATTTTACCGTGACAATCGTCAAACAATCGAACCCACATTTCAATTTCAGGACCCTACCAACGACAACCTTCAAAATTGCTTTGGTCCTTCCATTTCCAAATGACTCAATACAGTTACATAAAGTAACTAAGGCTTTGATTTCAAAGCTATAAAGCATCTTTCTCGACTGAGGCATCTGTAGCAACGATAATAAGACAAACTTCCTCTGCTACGCTGAATGTACCCCCTTCCCGAAAAATCATCCTGGCATCTTTCAGAAACAACTTTCGGCCATCATGCTCTATTATCGACCATCCCAGCCGTGTTTTCAACCCCCCCCCTGCCTTCGTAAAAATAATACCCACCCCTAGTTCTAATAGTGGCAGAAAAACAGTCCGATTTGACGACTTCTCCCAAAGCTATGCCAAGAGAGAATGTGACAGGTAACTTGTCAGGGAAGAGAGAGCTGCCAGTCGAGACTTCCCAGGCCAGAAGATGATTGCTACTAGTCGTGATTGGTTTGCATAAACCGTGCTTCCTTTCAAAATTCTTTTTATCTCTCTTCCCTTTCCTTCGTAAAGAATGTTTCCGCCCTCGTGGTGTGTTGAGAGTTGGAGACCACCTCGCTATACAACTTGCTTCTACCTCCCTGAGTTCCTCAGAAGGTACACTAACTAGTCGAATAGCAACGTAATTATCCCACCCTTTAACCGCCAACCATCTCCTTAGCTTATGGTTACGTCTAGTAGAAAACCGGTTAGCATTCCTAGAGTGTTCACCCCACCTCTCGGATATACCCCTAGTGGTAGATCCATAATATGTAGCTTTCATCCATGGTGACAGAAGGTTATAGACGCAACAACCTTCCCCTTCACATATATTGTACCCGCCGTGCATTGAATCAACCCATTGATCGACGAATTTTAAACCCCACTAGATCTGCCCAGGCAGAACCAACAACAACACAAATAGTCTTAGTTTATGCTCAAGCCAACGCCTATCCTTACCTTTCGTTTCCCTGCTAGCGCTCTGCTGGCACAAATCCCTGACCTTTTGCCATAACCACGTGGGGTCGTGGTAGGACTCAAGAAGGGTTCTCTTCTTGAGTCTCCTCTGTCATTCCGTTAACGTGCTCCTTCTCCTCTTCCTCCTCCTCCCCATACACATCTCTTACGCGGATAGTCGTCAAGTCTGCAACCGCCTGCTTTTTATTATGGTATTTAACCTTATCCTTGTTACACAACTCCACTAACTCGTTCTTGTATTTTGCCATGAGTACCTTCTCCATTTCCTCCCTATATTGTCTCCTCCCACCGGGGTCTGGGTTAGCAACCACGGCCTTACTTCTCTCTCTCACCCGATCGAACCCAAAACCAGGTGACGTACTAAGTCTAGCTGCCGATCAAAATAAAAATTTCCACGAGAAATTAATGTTGAAAAAACATTCCATAAAAAAAAAATCCGTCGTATTTATAAATTATCATTCCAACGTTCGTCCAATTCTAAAATTTACAGTTTTATTTAATAAGTTCATGTCTAAGTATGAACTTTCCCTTTCAACTACATCTATTTGTTTGAGATGGAATGAAAGTCTGGACGAGTTTATGAAAAATTTTAATTAAACTTTCATGCTACTACAACAATATCTTCTGATTTAGATTGGATTAGCCTATTTATGACTGAAAATCCTTACTTAGAATGACAGTCCAATTAAAATATTTCATGAACTCATCCAGACTTTCATTCTATCTCTAGCATGCAGTTCAAATAAGAAGGGATACCTCATTCTTGGAAGGAAAGTTTTCTAGTAAGACGAAAATTTTTTAAATTGGAATGATAATTTTTAAGATGGAATGAAAATTTGAAATTTAGAATGTAATTTTACTATAGAATGATTATTTAATTTTGGAAAATTTTTCTGTTGATAGGCTCCCTATCATGTGCCTGGCTGTGATAACCACTGAGGCAAACACCTAAGCGAGTCGACCCATCGATCTAGCATTACTAACTGGAGTCTCTGCCTGTATACGTGACGTACCTGGGTTGTCTTGAGTCTGTTCATCTGCAGGGGTCGCCATACTACGTGTAACCAGACGATTAGCCGTCCTCGGTGCTTGGTCGCGGATGACAATGCCAGGTGCTCTTCTCCCCGAAGGAACATGTGGAGGAGCGGGACGGGGAGAAGTATGGAGGTTAGACCGAGATGTATGCCCAGGGGGAATAGGAGGATGAGGGGGAGTAGGAGAGCGTGCTGCAGGAGGTGAAATAGGTTGATCAGAAACTAGTTCATCTGGGATAACAACCGTTGGACAATGAGGTTGCTGAGGAACGACTGGAAGTTGCGGCTGACGAGGACCAGATGGTGGTGGTGCAACCGTTGGTGCGGTGCGCACATCGCGGACACGCACAGGATCCGTGCGAGATCCTCCTGCTGCGGTTTCGATCGGGGCACCGGTGGAGCTATAGCCTGTAAGTGCAACCGACGCAGCCTGGACATGATCTGCGAGGGGTGGGTTGGCAGCGCTTCGATTAGAAGTTTCAATCCTCTCTATCAATCCGAGGATGCGCTCGAACATCAAATTTTGCTGGTTTTGCGCCCGTTCCATCATGCGATTCATATGCACCTGAGCACGCTGCACATTATCAATATTCATGAGCAGCAGTCCTGCGTCCAGAGCGCCCACTTCATTTACACGCTGCCTTGGAGTAGAAGGCTGTCCCGTCGGGATGCCTGTAATCTTGTCTTGTCCCCTTTTCTTGGCATTGTCAGCGTTGCCTGCAGTATTATCTCCCTCAGTAGTATCACAATCCTTCCTCATGCGATCTTTTCCCACAACTTCCTTATATTATCCTCTTCTCTCCTCTTCTCCATTTCTTTCATTTTTTCATCCATCATCTTGGCCAACCGAGCCTCTTTCTCTGCCTCCTTCGGTGCTTCTTCCTCAATCTTTTTCGTCTTTGCATCCTTCGCAGCCCTTTCTTGTTCCTCGCTCATTCTATGCGCATTTTCCAATCTAAGTGATTCCCTTAACTCCCTACCATCATACACTAATACTAGCGCCGATACTTCTCCTTTGGCCGATCTGGGCCTGGAATTCCACGAGTTCCAGCCCGTCCCTCCGTGGTACGGAACCATCTGACGTGGCTGATACGGAATAAGTGCATTAGAGGATGATACTGTTTCCAATCCGTGAGCCATACCTTTAGTAATAGAGGCTTGAGGTAGTGGAGGAGGAGGAGGAGGGAGCGGAGGAGGGAGAGCAAGAGGGGGAGGGGAAAGAGAAGGAAGGTTGGAGGCAGATGGCGTAGGTATAACAAATGATAAGGTGGCACCAGATGGCAGCGGAGGCGCCGAGGGGGCGTACTGCTGTGAAGTCGTTGGAGGCTGAGACAAGATCGGATAGCTACGATTAACCGCGTGTCCAAAACTTGGTCCACCAATATGCCTCCCTGACACACAGCAATCATCTCTCCTTGGATGCGGACAATTCCTGGCCCAATGGCCATGCTGTCCGCAATTGAAACACACACCATAAGGAACGTGAAGATTGTCGCCCATGCTTGTTGTTGTGCGAGAGTTCCTTCGTTCGACTTGGAGTAGGCCTCGTCACGAAGACCGACTTGAGTTCTCAAAATCCGGACGTTCTTGAAAATCAGAGAACCAGGTGAAAATCAGGATGCTGGCGTATCCACCACTCCACGACCCACGCGGTGGTTAACACGCTACTAATGGTCGAGAAGGAGGTCGACGTGGCAGAGCACGAGGAGACCGTCCATCAGACAGGGGCATACCCTGTGAACGACCAGAGCTGAAAAAACACTGCACCTTCAATCCTCCTTAAACAACCAGTACCTCGCCCTGCTTGAGAAAAACGACGCGGCCGTATACGCGCCGCGTCGGGCGGGGTACCCACCGGGGTGCGACCGCTTTCCCACAAAAAAACGGGCGAAAAAAAATAAGAAAAAAAAAAAACGAAAACAAAAACAGACCACGAAATCAAACAGACGGGCACGCGGGGCGGGGAAAGAAAGAGAGAGAGAGAGAGAGAAAGAGAGAGAGAGAGAGAGAGAGAGAGAGAGAGAGAGAGAGAGAGAGAGAGA